CAAACCCAACGAAAAGAACGCTCATCTTCGCATGGGGCTGTTGGTGCCTGGCATGTTGAGGCCCGAAAAGGCACCAGATAAGATTGAATATGACTCGGCGCTGGAGACACTCAAGCTCAACTTGCTGGCCCCTATGATCCTAGTGAAACATTTCGCGGTCTTCCTCCCACGGAAGTCAACAAACATGCTGGTTGACGACGGATTACCCAAACTGGCTATACTGGCACTTATGAGTGCCAGAGTCGGATCAATTACGGATAATCGATTAGGAGGATGGTATAGCTATCGGGCGTCCAAGGCTGGAGTCAATCAACTGGTCAAATCCACGGACATTTTTTTGTCAATGCAGAACAGCCACAGGGCTATGTGCATCGGCCTGCATCCAGGAACGGTCAAGACTAGTCTAAGCAAGGACTTTTGGAACAGTACACCCCCAGAAAAGCTGTTCAGCCCCGAATTCAGTGCACAGAGGCTGATCGACGTCGTCAACGGGTTGGAGGAAAGTAGCCGGGGGAAATGCTGGGACTGGAACGGCAAGGAGATTCCACCTTGATGGTGTATGAGGTGCTGTACCGAGAACAAGATTCCCATGATGGTGTGCTGATGAATAAGTCAAGTGGAACGAGGCTGTTGTGGGTCGGCGATTCCATTTCATACGAGAAACTCGTATGTACATTTGTGCCTCATACTCTGGAAGGATCCTCTGGTAACGCTCTCTGCAGTTCTCTGGGATTTCTGTTATTCGCTGGCAGATTGGGACACGAGCTCGGCTGGGGTGGTACGAGTCATGACAGCAAACGCCGGCAACACCGGTGCACTCCGATATAAGGGAGGAAGTGGATGGGATTTGTGCGGATATGAGAACCCTCCTCGTAGACGCCCAAGCCACGCGGGTCGATGTCATTGACTCTTTAATATGCGAGCTTACTGTGTTTTTCCGTCATATCCAACGTATCCCATGGCATCCCAATGGCTATACCGAGTACTGGTAGGAAACGGATGTTTGTGGGAAGGAGTGGAAGCTGGAGAGGGACGGAACTTGTGGTGACCAGCTAGTGACGGGGTGGTGGCGGTGATGAATCAGCTGGGCCACTAGGAAGGTCGCGACGGTGTTGCTAATCTCAGAGCTAACAGCCTCTGAGGATCGCGCTAGTAAGGGAGCAGGGCACCGCAGGCAAGTTGTGAGTGGATGAGTTGAGTTTTTGGAGGGGGGGTGGGCGTAGTGGGAGGGAGAAAATAGAGATAGACAGAGGGGAGATGGACCGTTAGCGGTGGATAGCAATATTGCGTTATTAGGGAATGAATTTCCTCTGAAACAGGAATGGCAGCAGATGAAATCAAAAGGGAAAATAACAAATCCATGGGACAAGAAGCTGTTTTGGGTGTTGGCGGGACCCGGGGTATATTTTCCTTGTTTGATTGAAAAGACTTCTCGAAGACCTTCATCTCCCCATGAGCTGGTGACTCGTGGTTGCTTGTGGTGCTCGTGGTGACTCTGGTGAGCACTTGTGCGATAAGTTGCGTACTTGCATGGTGGTCAGTCAGCTACCGAGACGCAGGAGTCAAACTAGCATGTCGGCCTAGTTGCAAATGGCTCCTTGGGTGGGTTTCTAGCCCGGACTGAGCCAGTGACACTCGCCGAATAGCGATAGCCTGTAGCCACTACGGGCATCAACTGGGGCACCCCCAAAGGGCTTACGAGGTTGTACGATAGGGAGTAGGGAGCCCGGCCAGGGACCTAAGGACCCAGACAAGTCGGGGAAAGAATGATCCGCTCTGGGCCTGGTCCAATCATGGTCCAGGCGTGCCCGTAGCTGCCAGAAATGCTTGGGTGGCAGAGGGTGGCAGTGGGCGGTCCCCAAGCGGCCCCCAAGGTGGCCTCTGTCTACAAAAGGCAGGCAGCTGCCGCTATGCCCTTTCCGACTCCCTTTCCTCTCTCGTCCATCCTCCATTCTGCCACTGTCCACTGTCCTGTCGCTGTGTGTCTCACGGGGCGCCCATCCTTCCCAAAGGTCTTTTCCAAGCCGTTCTTCGACGAGATCCAGACACCAGAGAGATCTGACGCTGTACGCTGTGTGTAAACAGTGCTGTGCTGTGCAGCTTGTTGCTTTGATCTGCGTGTCCCGGGGCGACCATTGAATTCCTGGCAGCCCAGCAGTCCAGCCTCGAACTCGCCCAGCCACCAAAATACCATCCATCCGACCTCGACTTCAATAGATCAAATCGACTGATCAACCACCGGAACGTCAACATTCGTATCCAAATCTGACTTGACTCTCGACGCCTATCGCCTGGCTTCTGGCTGAAAAAGGTACGTGTGTCTTCTTATGGTATTCGCCTCTCTTTTTGAGTTGTTTCGTTTTTTTCCTGTTCTATCCACAAGGCGAGGGTCATCCTTTTCGACCATCCCGTATTGAGCACAGTATATCCACGACAAAGCTCTTCCGTGAACGCGATCGAAGGGGGACTCTCACAATCCCGCGTCGGTATTTCGTGACAGTCGAGCCTTGTCGATCATGGTCATGATATGGCCATGCTCACTCTCGTTGTCAAAACCAATATGGGAGAGTCTGCGTACCGGTTCATGGGTGGCTGGCCATGATTTTTCCTGGCAAAGACCAAAGCCCAGAGAAAACGGGAAATCCACTTGCCCACCCACAATGCCCCGGGCCAGACTCGAATTGCCAAAGAGAAAAGACTGCAAAAGTGGAGACTTGGGTGAGAAAGAGAACAAGAGAGCGACGAGCCGGTTCACGGCCCCCAGGTTCCGTCTTGCACGTCGCCAAGACCCGCCCATCAAGTTCCCCACTTCGGTGGTCACGGGAGAGCTACAGGCTCACTCGCTGAGTCGCTCACTTCTGGTTCACCACCTTTTTTCCCACCGCTGCCTCCAGAAAGTCTCAGACCACCTTTTCCCTCCCACGCACCGACCGCACATTCACCCACCTATACCCTGCACCTACCTGTACTGCACCGCCCACCTGCCTCACCTACCTTACCTACACAATACCACCGAGGCCCCCCCGAAAGCTAGCCCAGCCTACTCCATTTTGCCGTCCTTTGCTTCTGCCGAAAGACTCCGCCCCTCTTTTTCCCTTCCACCCTTCCACCCTTCCACCCCCCCCCCTTTGTCTTTCGTTTCCTTCTTCAGGACCTCCCGAAGCTCCCTCCTTCTCACACACCAAACCGTTTTCTATCCAGATCTCAGCCCATACAGAAAGTGGTTACTTCTCTGTATTCCCAAACCCACTTCTTTATCCCTTTACAGACTGATTGTTGCACATCCGTCCTTCTGCCCACAAAGCTTGACCCTCGTCTTCTCCCTTACCAGTTACCTGCCGTTTGCCCCGGATTTGCCTGCCGCGGTACCTGCGCTGCCGCACCCCGTGCTCCAGCACTTGGGCCGAGTACGTGTCTGTGATATCGCACCTATACCAACCTGTCTGTCCGATCCATATCACTTGTTCTGTCACTGCTGCCCAGAGTCTTGTCATTATTCACTCGGTCCAATTCACTAACACTCGATTTCACCTTCAGTCCCGTCCCCAGTCACGGCCTCTGCCTGAGATCCAATCAACCGCACCACTTCTTAAAAGGTATTCTATCCGTCCACCGACTTCCTCTTTCGTCTATTGACACTTTACTTCTTTGGGGTAGACATAACCATACTCGATCCATTCCATACGATCCCATCATGGCGGACATCACCGATCCCACTGCCAGCCTCGAGCACCCTTCTCCCGGCGATGATCTTGCCGGCAATGGCGTCGACTCCCGAGGCACCAAGCGACCAAGAGCGTCCATGGCCGGGGAGGATGATGATGACGATGACGAGAAAGGCGGCCGAGAACGCAGAAAGATTGAGATCAAGTTCATCCAGGATAAATCGCGTCGCCACATCACCTTCTCCAAGAGAAAGGCCGGTATCATGAAGAAGGTAAGACACATCCTACACTACAAGAACTTATTACCAGGAACTGGTGTTGATTGATCCTTCAGGCTTACGAACTGTCGGTGCTCACCGGCACTCAAGTTCTCTTGCTGGTCGTGTCAGAGACTGGGCTCGTGTACACGTTCACTACTCCTAAACTGCAACCCCTCGTCACCAAGGCCGAAGGAAAGAATCTCATCCAGGTAGGTCTATCTATCTGAAATCCCATCGTGAGTTGGTGCTGACATGCGCTTTAGGCGTGCTTGAACGCTCCTGAACCCTCCGGCAACGAGAATGGTGTCGACGCCGCTGACGATGTCGCCTCACCTGACGATGTTCCATCCATGCCTCCTGCTGCTGCGGGCGTACCTCGACCTGCTCCCCATGCTGGATATGGCATGACTCCCGAACAACAACAGCAAGCCCTGTACTACCAACAACTGCAACAGCAGAACCAGAGCGGCCAGTATGGCGGCATGCCACAGATGCCTCAACATCAACGCGCATAGTAACCATGAGACACACCACCTCCCACATATTGATACCCCCCAACCTACGAAAACGGGTCGGCTCTCGTGCGGTCATTGACCATTCTGACACATGAGCCTTGCTCGTTGTCAATGGCAGTCTGATATCAGCTGAGAGGCGGCTCTCTAAATGGCTCTCGACTGATTGACTGGCGTCTTGAAATTTTGCGCAAATCAACATCAACACTGGAGTTTTCGCAAGATGATGTGCTTCGAGGGTGATTTCTCTTAAAAAGGTCCAGTATTTCTCACACGCAATTGTATGAGACAGTATCTTGAAGAATGATTGCGGGGTGCATGGTGGGCGAAGACTGGAAATTCGAGGAAATCCACTCCTAGTGTGCAGTCATGACTCGTGTGTTATGCTTTACAGGCAGAGAACAATGTCAAAGCAGATTCAATCTGTGGTCAAGTCCTCTGTTTGCTATTACCCGGCACCGTGTTCCAGGTAGCTAGCTTCATTTCACTGTTTCAATCCATGAAGGCAAAAGTGGCTATGATGATAATCCAACTTCTTTACAAGTGAATCTTATTTGCGCTCGCTACAATTTGCTTGGGACCCATCTTGGAGCCCGCTTCTCTACAAATGCCCGGACGCCCTCGTGGATGTTCTCTCCCTCGTGAAGTCTGGTCGAATAAATGTCGATGGTGGTCTGGGTGGCATGTTCGGCGCTCCCATCGTCCCAACCTTGGACAATACCCGCGCGGGTGATGATGACGCTGTCGGGGCTGTTGTTGCAGATCTCGGTGGCATATTCCAGAGCCTTCTTGACGACCGGCCTGTCGAGGATGTCGGCGTCGACGGGGGCGTCGTCGGTCACGGCATTGACGATGCCCCATTCCCTCGCCTCGGCGGCCGAGACGGTGCGTCCGGTCAGGGCCATCTCCATGGCCCTCGGCCTACCGACGGTCCTCACGAGTCTAGGCAGGGCGCCGCCGAGTGCGACAACCCCGCGCTTGACCTCGGGGAGGGCAAACGTGGCAGATTTGGCCGCGACGACCAAGTCCATGTTGGCGACCATCTCCATGCCGCCGCCAAAGGCGAGGCCGTTGACCGCACCGATGACGGGCTTCTTGCCTGCGCGGCGGCTCACGGCCCCGAACCCGCTGTTGGGCAGTACGCGCTCGCCGCCCTGACGGCCCTCGGCGCGCCGCGCGTTCGAGTCGTTCCACTCCTTGAGGTCGGCGCCCGCGCAGAACGCCCGCCCCTGGCCCGTCACGACGCAGCACCGCAGCGACCCTTCGCCGTCGTACCACTCCAGCAGGTGGTGCAGGGCCCAGTGCACCGCGATCGACAGGCAGTTGAGCCCGCGCGGGTTGTTGAGCACCACCACCAGCACCGACGGCTGCGGGAATAGCAGGACAACCTTTTCCGGCAGCGGTGGAGGCGGCTTGCTCAGCGTCGAGGGGTACGATGACATATCTTTGCTTTGGTTTTCCGGGAGGGTGAGAGGGGGTTGGGAAGGGTGGTTCTCTCTCTTTCTCGCTCCCTGCTATTCAATAGCTTTTTAGCTATCTCCGTTGCCGGTTTTCTTTTCCGTGTCCTTTTCCACTTTTCTCAAAGGGTCGAGGTGGGTGGTGCCGAGGTATGTATGGACCCGGTCAATAGTGGTAGGTAGGTAGGTAGGTCGATATGGTAGTTTTGATCGATCAATCGATAGGCAGGGATGTATCGAGTATGTACTCAAACAACATGCAAAGAAGATTCTTGGTTCCTTGGTACTTGGTACGATTTATATGTTCTTTCTGTACCGAATATTATACCGAATCCACCAATATCTCGTGCGGGGATGCTTGTTGTCCTTGTTTCCTCTTCTCCCTATCAAGTTCCTTCCCGGACTTTTTTCCTCTCTTTCCTTTGTAGCTCGAAAAAAAACAAACAAGAAAACTCGTTTAGATTGAGGAGGAGGAGAAGTCTACCGAGTACTTGTGTGACAGATAGAGGGATGATAACCCATGGACTCAGTACAGTACCTACACACCTGCGGAGTTCATCCTCCGGGTCGGGTGAGTTGGGTGGGGAGGTCCGAGTACTTGTCAGGGACATGGCTCGATGGGAAGTAGGCAGTGTAGAGAATATTAGCTCTGCGAGTTTAGCCGAGGTACAAACTAATTACATCTTCCATCCTACAGTGAGTACATACATCCTCCATACTAGTACGATACACTCCCAGGGGCCAACATATCCAAGTACATGGGTATAAGGCACGTGGACAAGGACACAAATACATAACATATTATGTCCTGTGGAGCTGGCCCGTCTGGCTGGTGGCCCCGTGACCTAGCACTTGGGCCACACCTTGATACAACGCATCTGCAGAAACAGGCTCTGCTATTTCGATACCCGCGTGCCCTCCTTGACCCCAAGAGCGTTTGGCTTCGACCCCCAAGAACTTTGAGACGGCCCATCTATCCCGACCAAACCGTGTATGTGCGTTCTAAATCACATCCCCTGCTGCCCTTCTCTTCTCTTGAACCATTTTGAAGACCTCCCCTGCCCACAGTCCCTCCTCGTCATCTTTCAAATCCACGAAGCCTTCTGGGTCTGGTAGAATCGCCATGGCCCGTCCATGCAAGCTCTCATCAACCGCAAACCGACCCGCCACGTCAACCACGGTTTCAATGTCCACATAGGTAAACCCTTTTCCCGGTCCCATTCCTGCCGCGGCAAACGTATCCAGTGCGTTCTCGACCATCGGCGTGCGCATGAAGTAGGGTGCGAGACAATTTGTGCGGACATTAAGGCGTGGCGTCTCGTGGCGTAGACCACGGAAAAGACCACGAACGCCGACTGCAGAGAAATGTTGACGTCAATACCTGAAATCTTCGGGAAAGTCTCGGTTTCCGTTGTGCCCCAATGTGTGTTCTGTCTCTTTGCTCCCCCAGAAAGAAAAAGGACGGTACTCACACTTGGAAGCATGGTAATCTGCAAAATTCCCGACATCCGTGTAAGCAACAGTCGAACTCACAAAAATGAGCGACTTGGAGAACTTTTCTGCCTCCAACTGTTCACGAGGCTGGCGTGGTTCAACCGTCATATACCACAGAGCCAGATACGCACATTTGTACATCCCAAGAAGATTAACATCCAAAGCCGAATGGCGTAGCTCAGGCGGAGTGAGACATCTCTTGGATTTGGCGTCTAGGACTTTGTCAACGAGACTACCCGCCTCGCCCATGACGCCCGCAATCAAAGCTGTAACATCAATGGTCCCGTTTGGTGATTTCTGAAGTGCGTGATCAAAAGCTTTCACAGAGCTGACATGGTCTGTCACATCGCAGCGGACGAACATTGCGGAGAGGCCTTGCACCTGGAGAGCCGCGACCGCACGGGTGCCATCCTCGATATTGAGGTCTGCAATGGTAATGTGGGCGCCTGCATGAGCGAAACGTTTGGCCATGGCAAGCCCTAATCCTGAAGCTCCGCCTGCAGATGTGTTGATGGCATATCAGCACAATCAATGTCAAAGTGCAAAGAGCTTCAGAAGGTTGAGGAGTTGAACCAAATCACCCACCTAGAATCATAATAGATCGGCCTCGAAGGGAGGAGAGGTCAACCTTGTCAGACATTTTGGTTCAAAAGGCGGTCAACGGGATCTGTTCTGGTGGCAGAAAACAAACGCAATCGAGCTACACTTGTCGCTGTCCTTTTCAAGCAAAACGTCTCTGACGAGGTTCAGGAAGTCACCACGATTGAAAAGGAGGGGCAGAGGGGTTGTGTAACCTGCGAGGTTCGAGGCGTAATGAGACCAGAAAACTAGAACTCTGAAGCGTGGCTTCCCAGCGAGTTTGTTGAACAGCCTCGCTTCGGTTCGGATCAAAATTGTTGATTCTTCCCATCCCTCGACCAAGATATATGGCAATGTCCTTGCTCTTCTGTTCTGGGCCGCCTTCCATGTAGTTGATTGTTGCGGGTGTTCCTTTCTCGTCCTTCTCATCCCCTTCTCAAAGCCCTATGTCCTTCATTCTGATGCCCTTGCGCTGCCGGTCAGCGCCTAACCCTTCGCGCACGGTAGTCTCGAGTCTTGTTTTCCACCTTCGCCCGTCGCAGAGGAATCGAGGACAATCAGAAACATGAGCGTGGGAGAGACATCCGTGAATCAAGGGCAAGTCGTAATATGTGAGGCTCCGCAACTGCGGCTAACGTGCTCCCTAGCCTGTCTAGTGCAACTTGACTCTTGGACCCTGGTGGCCCTTGAGAAACCCATGACGCAGGTTCTAAACCACGTTGCAACCTGCGATCTGCGATCGAACATGGTCGACTTGTCGATCCTCGATCCGCTTGCGCAAAGCGGCTCGGAGCTTGCCGACTTCAACAACTCCACGGCCTCAGCCTTGCACCGGTCCTGGTGAGGACCATATCGCGCTCGGAGCATGTTCTCGGTACACACAGATTTGCCAATGGTTGGCGGTGCTCTGGGGGGTTTATTAGGTTGATGATACGTCGGTATGTTCCCTTGCTAAGTGAGAGATTGTATGGTCGAGGAAAACTCCTGGCCTTTGGCGGTGTCTCGTACAAAGGCAATAGAAAACAACATTCTTGGTGTCTCCATATAACCGGGAGACTCTGGAACTCCAACGCTAACACTCATTGCTTATCAAGGCGAATCAGCCCCTTGACCTCTGGAAACGTACCCAGAATACTTTCACCGATGCTCCAGTTCTGGTAATTGGTGACATGATCCACAAAGTCTTGAGAGAGCACGCGGCGACGGTGGTGTTCATCCCACCTTACGGCTTCATCCATCCCGCGATCCCAATTCACGCTGAGAGGGGCTGCAGGTAATGCCGTCATCCAGTCTCTCAGATTCTTGATTAGAGCTTCACGCAACGGCGGTAGAGGTAAGAAGTCAAGAGCAATATGATGTGGTACTAAGTATTGGATTGGACGCGGTTTCAGAATGGCCGGAATGGCAGCATAAGAGTCTGCAGTGGGAACAAGCATCCAGCGCATGACTGCGGTATATGCCAGAATCTGCGCAAGTCGGACGTACACGTCCCAGTCGTGGAAGCTTCGCCATACCTGGAGCATATTACAGTCAGCCATTCGGGGAGCGATTTAGTATTCGGCAGACGTGAAGGTGAGGATCTCACCTCGCACGCCCATCCGCTGACGGTAAAGCTATCGTCCTCATTACGGTCACGGAAGAACAACTCCACATCGATCAAGTCCGAACCAAGCACTCCAGACGGGGAGGCACCATATAAAAGCAGGGTCTTCGCATTATCCATAAATCCAGTGATGATGTCGCTCAGTGGGGTGTTCTCATGCATGACTAGCGTTTGGACGCCATAGAGCTGGGATACCCGATCATGCAGGGAACGCCGTGCATTGTGGCCTTGGGCAGGGACCCCCGGTACAAATGGGGTGATCCCAGTATTTGCAGCCTCACCGGCATGTGCGTATTGAGTTACCAGCTGGTATGAAGCATCCGTTTGATGTGTCTCTTCAGGCTGAGTATCTGTCGGGTCTCCACTGGAATGGGCTGTCTGGGAGTCTGAAGTGCGCAGGGCGAAATGCCAACCCCGTCTATTGTGCTGAAAGTTGGAAGTGTTGTTTTGTGGTCTCGAAGACGATGCAATCGAGCCTGAAGGTACCTCTTCGTAGATGTGGTGAGCAGTGCCACTGTGGACACCGGATTGTCGAGGGAATTTTTCCTCTGCAACTGGCTGCACTGGCTGCTCGTGGGCGCTTTCTGGAGGACTAAGTACGCTAGAAGGTGTAAGAGGAGGTTGGTTGTACGATGAATAGAAGTTGCTCTTGAGTTGATCGCCTGTCTGGATTCCATCCTCGCAGTCGTCATGGCTTACTGGAGTGCTGATAGTCTCGAGGGGCTCTCTGCCGTGTGTACGCCTACCTAGATAGACCATATCGTCCAAGTCCTTCGGCGCCGACTCCTCGACAGATGTTGCACCTTGCAGCTGTGATTGCAAATCGTCTGGCAATCCATCAGCTCCGCTTGTGGCAGTCTCGCCATCGTCGAGTTGCCGGAGACACTCTTGAATTGTGACGAAGATGTCATCCGCTGGATCATTCTCACGGATCGACCTGATGACGGCGTCGACCTGGGAGCTCGAGCGAAATCGGACCGCCTGGAGGAGAGCCGTGAGAAGGCGATTCTGGGAAAGCAGGGCTTCGCGGTCTTCACGATGCACGGCTCGTCGGCCGTCGAGCGACGGATCGAATGTACATTCGATGCCGCTTTGCAAGCACAGCTTACATGGCGCCGGGAGGCCGCTGCACTGTATTTTGCCCGGTCTTGTCTCAGTCTCGCCCCTTCGGCAACAAGGCTATCATAAGGCGCTGTCAAGGAGATTCCTCACCTACCTTGGACCTCCGCCGTTTGCAGGCTTCGCACGCGGTGCCCACGCGTGTGATTTTATTGCGGCCCAGCCTCTCGGCGCGAGCGGACCTATTGGAAATGATGGCGTTGCTGTTGTTACCACTGCCCGGAAGCAATGACTGCAAAGGTCTTCGATCCATGAAGATCGCATCGAGCTTGTTGTGTGTAGACAGAGATCGGAGGAATAGCCAGGCCCCCCAGGACTTTTCAAGTGGAAACTTATTCCCGCCTAGCAACCACCCCACCGTATATTTTTCAAGTATTCAGCAACCAAGTTCTCACTGTGTGCATACGAAAAAGGCCACAACGAAAACGGGGCTCCCCCAGCTGGAGCCGATGACAAGACTTGACCACGGGAAAATTTTCCCTCAGATACAAGCGTGGAGGACGATCGTTAAGGTGGCATTGCTTCGAAGTGCTGCCCCTCGCATCAACATCATTGGTGCAAGGGCCATAATAACGTGTGACGGCGATTCGATAAAGTGGTTGCCGAGACTAGAGAGGGAGCCAAGGGGGAGAACGGAGGCATTCTTTTGTTGTTTCGGATGGATCATCCGTTTGGCTCTTTCGGCTCAGTGGTCAAGGGGAGGGTAATCTGCGGGTCGATCTCTTGGAGTTCCGGGTGTGATTCGAGATTCCCTTCAGTAGTACGAATTACAGGTCAACGCAGGCAAAGTCCCGACGAAAAAAATGAGACGAAGCACAAAACTAGAGTAAAACCCGATATCTTCGACACAACACCAACACCTCAAATATAGGAACAATTTAATAAAACTCTCATGATCGATAGATTACGACTACTTGTTTTATACATCTAGATTATAGACCTAGTAACTGCAGTATAACTATCTATTTTCAAGAAGTTGTTTTCGTAAAGATAATACGCTAATAATACGCTAATAATACGCTAGTTTTTAGTAGAGTTCTTATATCTACCAGTGGCCTCTCTAGGAGCCCTACTATAGTGCCATCCGGACGGAGGGGGCACCGAAGGGAAGGTAAGCCGGGTAGGTATCCCTCAAATGAGCGCGTGTTAATTTGCTCTACGCAGTCGTGGGAAGGTCGGCATTCTAGATTGGTCAACCTGGTCAAGCAGCTTGAGTTCGTCGATTCGTTCGACATCATAGAGTGAGCTCACCCACGGAGACAAGAATCGGATTTCGGAACTGATGGATTCAGTGTCCACCTTGAGGCCATTATCACAATAGGGTCTTCGTTCTACCATTCCTCGCAAGACTTCCGAGCAGGTGATGCAGAGATAGGTAGAGGCGCCAAAATAAGCGACTCTGCAGTCATTCGTTTTGCGAAAGCCTGTCAGAACCTTATCTACGTTAAACTTACGTCTCCTGTCCCTTGCCAACGTTGTTTGGCGAAATATGCCAAGGCATCGCGCAGGTAGACGTGAACGAAGGAGGAAAACTTCGGAAAAGTCCTGAAGAATGATGGTCAGGGTAAGTTAGGGGCCTACGACATGAAACCCCACCCGTGTTGGTCTATGGCCTGGTCACGCTTTGGTCGGGATGCGCCTTCAACCATTGACAGCGACTCACTTTCGGGACTAAAGCACCGAGGCGCTTTACTGGGCAGGAGGGCTCGGAACTGGACACTTCCGAGCAGGCGAGACACTGAAACTGGAAACCGGGAATTGGGGGAAGAAGGAGGGGGTTTGATCGGTCCTCCACGGGGCTTGTTAGTTGTACCCACACTGCCCAAGGCGCGCCTCATGACAAAACTCGGGTTGATCAGGATCTGTTACCGTACCAAACTACAGTATCAGGCAGTTACGAGGCTTCTATGTCGGAGAATCCAATCAGGTATATCATTAGGTCTGGACACAAGTACAAGAACGAGGTGCAAGTGAGCAATCGTGACGATCACCTGGCGGGTGGCCATGCGACAGCAGCGCCGTGTGAGGTCGAAAACCCGAGTACCTCGTCTGGCAACCGAGACCAAGAAAATACATCACGTTATGTCGTCCACGGGCCTCATAAGCCACTCATCTTCGAGGATCTCTGAAGATGTCGCTCTCAATTCTGGATCCCAAGTCAATATCTTTCGTATGAACTTTAGAAGCATCTCTCTTTCTTCTCCGGGAGGAACAGTGGTGATGAAGTTCTCGAAGGATGTTTCAGGAATTGGGGGTTCCGATATCCAATTGCCTGTTGTCATCAAATGTTAGTGTCTCCCACAAAATATAAGAAGACATTGGTACGAAACATTAAAACTTGCCTTCTTCGTCAAAATATGTCTGGAAAAGCGGGCTCCGTTTGATCATCTCCAGCGGTGGTGGGCCAAGATATCCGATATACTGCGACAGTGCTAACGGTAGAACATATTGATCGTGAACACGATCAATGGGATCAAACAGACTTCTTCCTTCCAGAAGCTCTGAGTGTCTGATGATAGTAATTAGTGCACGGCCTTAAAACTTTGCTTTTCCTGCTTACCATGACACCCACTGACCAAACGTCGACCGGGAAGGCCCAAGGAAGCTTCAGGAGTACCTCCGGAGCTCGATATGAATCGGACATCCACCAATCATTATTCATCGGTTCCGCTAATCGCATTTGGCCAAAATCAGTGAGGATAGGGATGCCCGAAAGTTCAACCGTGACAGGCCGAGACCTGTAAACGGGAACTCCATCATTCATGATAGGCGTGCTCGGATCTTGCGACTCTTGGTCCTCGATGTCTTTAAAGATGGTTTCGTCCCCAAACGCTGTCAGGACATTTTGGGGGGAAATGTCTGCGGCATGGTTAGAGGACAATATTTTAGGAAACCACCCGCTGAGCATACCAGTATGTACGACGCCACAAGTTGCGTGCAGCCAATTCACAGAAAACCACAAACGATGTACCAAAGATTTTACCAGCGTCCTTGGGAAGATTGCATCGGCAAATGTTTCCTGTAATGTGCGGAGGCTACTTCCTTGTGGTTTGGTCGCAATACAATAATGACGACCATATGGTCCATCAATCTCGAAGATATCGCGGGCAAGACGCGTGAAGTCTAAGCCTGGATGATCAGCTTCTCTAGCAAATTCACTCAAGCGCCTTAGCATGGCAACTTCATTGACAACCGGCGATGTCTCCGTTCCATCTTCAATGCAGACCTTCAGTGAGATATATTGCTTCGATCTACACAGCAGTCAGTCAAACATTTATAAAGATGCTTGGGTTACTGACCTCTCATCTCGAGCAAGGCAAAAGGTGGAATACGCTCCGTACCCTAGCTTTGCGATGATTCGATATTGTTGTTTGAAGATATCGCCAATTTTGACTGGGTAGTAGCGCTTCTGATAAAATAGTGGTAGTGTTTCTTCCTCGATTAGCTGATGGCTACCAGTATATGTCATAGTGTGATTTCGTTGACGGGATGTCTTAGGCGGACAAACCCAACGCAATCGGGTAAAGGTCAAACACCGTAGGAATGTATTCACACCTTGCATTGTGCATTGTGGAATGTGGATGATCTCTCGCGCTCACATCCCCCTGAAAGATGTTTTTACCAGTTGATAACCATGCTTTGTCTTGGCGATTAGGCTAGCACGTGGACCGTCAAAGCCTGTTCCTTTTTGCACTAGCCACAATGAAGTGTTTTCATAAATGGTGAGGGAATGCTGAATGATTGGTGTTAAATGTCTGTCGATTGTTTAGGGGCCGCTAAGGGTTTCACACCGGTCCGGTCCAATTAATGGGACCATTCATTTGGTTCGTTACAGGCTTTTGTTGCCCTTCAACGGCCTTCAGTCGACGCCTCAGTAAGCGCTGCAGTCGGATACATGTGTTGTGTTTATGTACTATGCAACCCCCTTCAGAATATTAGAACGAACTTACATTCCCTAAGATTCCTAAAGGTTGTCATTTGAGTGACACTTACCTTTTAGTACTGTCCTTTGGCGTGATAACAATCCCTAAACAAGACGCTGAAATGGCGAACAACAGCCGACTTTCAAACGTAACAAGGGATTTGTTGAAGAATATACCTGGCCCGTTCAACGCTCTCATCAGCCAGACTGCCGAGGGAAAGAATCCCCACGTCAGTTTATGTAGAAATCCAGCTTTCAGCCAGACCTAACACCTTTGCAGGCGCAATTCCCCTTCAACGAGGTTAAAGTGATCCGGTCATTCAAATAAAATCCGTTGATCATAGAGTCAACGGCTGATTGTTTTTTCCAGGGGTTCGGTGCCTCACCCACCGAACACCGATCGAAGAGAAGTTCGGAATTCCATCACCCTTCAATTCAATGGCACTGCAGGAGGGCCGATGGTTGCCCACCTTTTCAACGATGGGACCATCAGAAGCTCCGCGCAAATGCAGCAGGAAATCAATCAAAGAAGGGCCCAAGACGAAAGAATGACTGCGGAAGAGAACCGATTTCCCCAACTCCAGCAGACAACCGGGCGCAGACAAGCTGAAACTCGGATGATGACAAGGATACAGGCTGCGAGGAGCAACCCGTCATGGAGCATTGTACAAAAACAGTTGGAAAAGCAAAGCGCAGAGCAGGAATATAACCAGGTCTTGTAGAGGCAGGCGCAAGAAAGGGCCGCTGCTGCTCAAGCCGCTGCGAGTGGTCGTAAGACAAACCATTGAGAGCATTGCACGGACACTTCAGCAATCCATCTGTGTGCCATCCGGTGATCTGCTTCACCTGCTAGTGTGACCAAGCCTAACCAAGGTCAGATCGGGTACTGTAGGTCTGCAAAAGTCACCGGACACTAATTCCTTAGCACCTATACTACTAAATAGATATAGGAATTTTAATTAATTATTATACTATAGCCTCCAAACAGGGTAAACTAGCTAAGGACTACACCTTACCTACACTCCCCACCTCTTTGTTGGTGGAGAAAAGACAAAATAATAACAAACGGATGACGTACCAAAGCGTGGGTTGCCTTTTAGGCCCCGCGTCGGCACCACGGCTGGCCCTAGCGGAAACAAGACTCCGTATTGAGAATGAACTTCTTTCCTCCGTGGCGCAACGAGACGATTCAAGCAGAACCTTGAACGGGGCAGGAATGACTCGAAAGGTCTCCTGGTCCGATACGCTACGACCAAAAGGGAGCCCTGCTGAATGGATCCACAAGGCTCAGAAGATCGAAATATTCATGGCGCTGTTCGTACGAAGTCTATCTGAGAAGTGTGCTTTTCAAACTCTCCATAAAAGCGGAAGGACCATCCCTTCCCGTCTCCGTAAACCCGCCGACACCTCTCGCATATCTCATGACAATGAACCGCATCGGCGGCAAGCAGGACACCTGCAAAGGCTTTATTTCTTCTCGTTCTGGACGATCTTGACCTTCTCCAGGATCTTGGGGTAGAGAGGGTGGCTTGGCTCAAGTCCCGTGAGCTTGGTGGTTGCCTCCTCAGGACTCAGGGTGCTCATAATTTGTGCCAATTCTTTGCTCTCCTCATCACCTTCCACGTTCTGGAATCGAAGAGCCATTTCCACACCACGGACCAGAGCAGTCACATCGTAGCCGCGTTCGGCAAGCTGAGCGGCGGGGCCAATGAAGCGCTCTTTGCGACCAAGTTTTCGGAGGGGCGCACGGCCGACGCGGACGGGAACATCCTCAAGATGCGGGTTGGAGATACGTGCGACGATGGTTTCGACATACTGCTGTTGCTCTTCTGGAGTGATGCCATGTTTGCCGCTGATAAGATGCGCAGTCTCTTCCAAAGCCTCGTGGACTTCCTGTCGGATCTCGGGATCTGCCATGGCTTCATGGATGGTCTTGATGCCCTTGTAGTAGGCGAAGTATGCGGCAGTGGCGTGACTGGTGTTCACAGTGAAGAGCTTACGCTCGATGTATGGCTCGAGGTCATCGACCCAGTGAATGCCTTTGACTTCTGGATGGCCCGACTTGAAACCAGTCGTCTCAACGCACCACTCGTAAAAGCTCTCAATGACCACGTCGAGGTTGGCATGTGGAGGTTGGGTTGGGACGATTCTGTCAATAGCAGAATTCCCAAATTCGGCCTTGGAGGAAAGATCTTTGAGCACCTCGGGCTTCATGTTCTTCTCGTCGGTGATCAAAGCCTTGAGGGCATCGGTGGCATTGATCATGTTCTCACAAGCAATGACGGCAAGAGGCTTCGACTTTGTGCGTGCCGCAATACCATCAGCAATCGGCTTGGCAATGAACTTGAGAACGTTGGGCCCGACAGCACAGGTGACAATATCAGCGTTGGCGATTTCCTTCACCACTTCGTCCATGTTGTACTTTGAGTTGAGAGCCCGGTAGTTTGTAATGACCTTGCTCTTCTCCCCGTCTTCACCGACCTCAGTGATCTTGTACGACTTGGAGGCATTGATTCGATTGATGAGGTCGTCGACGACATCGACGAAGATGACTTCATAGCCGGTCTCATGGAGCAGCTCTGCGATAAAACCACGGCCGATGTTTCCACCGCCAAAGTGGACGGCTGTGCCAACCATGGTGTACGAGGGGATGTGTGAGATGTGGGAAAGAGGTCAGAGGTACTGTGGAAGTTTTGCTGCCCAAGGTCAGTGAGTTCGCTGGCCAAAACTGGTGCGGTAATGATGGCACCGCTCTCCGTTGGTTTGTTACGTACATGTCTCGTCTGCAACTATGCCTCTCCGAAAGAATGAGGCAAATGAATATGGATTTCGATGAACAGCAAGGGGAATAAAAGTGCTTGGAAGGAAAAGAAAATAGGGCAGAAAAAAGTCGGCGGTGTCAGAGAAGATATATTATGGGTGTTGGAAGCGGTCAACAAGAAATTGGAACAAGTGGGATGCGAGAGGTGAGGCACTTGAGACTAGTAATTGTACCTTCAACGAGCTAAAGCTTCATGCCCCGCGTGTCAGTGCGTCACTGGGAGGTGAAAGAGCGGCCATCCAATGACACCTAATTGGTTCGGGGCGCCACCACTGGTACAGAAGCCTTCTCAACGCGGGCTCTGATGGGGGGGGTCTGTAAATAAAGGGCGTCGATTTGGGGGGCTTGGGGGGCGCTACTCTCACAACCACCTCATTACGTCATATCTTTACTTGTTGTCGCATTCCTCCCGCAAGGGTAGAAGAAGAAAGTTGTGTGGTACATACATAGCTTTGTGCAACATTCTGAATAGTACTGCAACCCCTAATCTTCAGATATTATCCAATCCTAGCATGTGCGCAACTGTAAAATGTACATGTCGTGCACCACGGTAGCCAGGCTTGCCGTCATTCCAATCTTCATGTCGTAATCTGTACATTAGGCCTATCACAATATCAATATCCGCCTTTCTCGCCGTATCGCCTGGTGTTTCGTCGTCCCACACAACATTGCACAATAGAAACAAATGATGCCAGCAGCATGACTGCCGTGGCCGCCCATGTCATTCCAAGGAATTTCCCGCCTTTGGATGAGGCAATGCCGATCTCATCTGTGTATTTGTTGATTCGGTTGGTTGCAATGACCATCACAGCCGTCGCTACAGCGGAGGCGACCCCAAGGGTGATAAAGGCAATCTGCAAAGATCATGGTTAATCAAGGTTGGCTTCGTCTTGGAAAGGAAGAGAACTTACCACGTCCACCAACCAGTTGAAAAAGGCTGACAGTCGGCCATTGGTAAATATGCCAGCGGCGGCAGTGAACATTGCAATGCCTGACAAGACAATCCCGATGATGTAGAAGATCACCATGACCCGGCTGACAATCTTGATAGTGTTCTCAGCATCTGTTATGTCACTTGGCCAGTGGATATCATCCAAGGTGATTCCAGCCGGCAAATGGTCCTGGACAATCTTGGTAGGCTCAAAGTGAAAGCCCAAGGTCGACTTTGAGCATTCAGTCACATTTTGTCTTGGGTTGGGCGCAGTGGAATTGGGCGAATAGACACCTTGACAGTAATCGGTGACATGGACATTGAAGAAGTCTGGGAGACCAAGGAGTGAAGCAATGTCAGTGGCTGCATCGCCGATTATGTCGTTAATGCCCTCCTGAATGGTGCTGCTCAGGCCGGAGAGCAGCCCGCTGTCGCCACTGGAGGTGTCAAACAGACTGCCATGACCAAGCCGGGAGATGTTGAGCTTTGGGCAGTCAGCATATACTACATCCATAAATCCTGCGAGCAGCCATACGTACTGTCAATATTTCAGTATCTTGTAAAAATGTCCTTTTGTCGCCGGCAAGTAGACATAGGATCGAGAGAACAAAAGCTGCGACGGCACATGCCAGGGTGAGCAGGGAAGACAATCGCATCTTGAAAGGATAGGATGAATCTGTGTAGAAAAACGAATGGAATTCTAGAAAAACAACAGACTCTTAAAAGGCCCCGGTAGCAGAAATACTAGGACCTTGTACTGAGCACGAGGTTGAGGTTGACGTTTGCAATGATGGA